CCCTCCCCCTCCTCTCCCTCTCTCTCCCTCTCTCTTTCTTCTTTTTTCTCTCAGAAGAAAGAAAGGCTTTGAGAGTTCATCATACACCAAGTTTAAGTGGAGAGCTTGGTCTTCCTCCCAAACAAGTATCTTCCCGCTTGCATTACTTACATTTGGGAAGACTTATTCCAGTGGAGACCTGGGAGTCTCAGAGCAAGGACACATCGTGCACTGCACAACAATGGGTCACTGTGTAACCCCAGCTCTGGCATCATCTCAGTGGCAGCTCCAGTTTGTGGCCCTACTGACAACACACAGTGCTGTGAGATGCAGAATTCTGTTTCACCCCCACAAATGCCTCTCTCAGGAAACATCTCAAACCACCTTCCTCAGGACCTTCTAGAATTATGGAGAAGAAAAATTTCCATTGCCACACTTTGAATTTTATACTTTTAAGTCCTCTAGTACAATGCCTTTTCCTTAAGCCCTACTTCTTCTTTGAGCATTACCAAAATACAATGAATACCTCAAGTATTACCACATTTGAATTCTATTGTGAAATCCTGCTAATGTTTGCATGGATATTTGAAATCAGAGAACCCAGAAAACACTACAATTCCTGCAAGAATGGTTCTCCTGAATGGAACATTTTGATTTACTAGAGGCAGGTGGACTCAAGAATCCACACATTAGCATCCTTCCGTGGCTTCTTGCTGAGAAATCCCTAAACAATGCCCAGTGCAGGGTCTGTCAGGCCCCGATCTCTTTGCCATGAATCACCACGCAGCTTTTACTGACCTTTGCTGTACTCTAACAGACTTTGAGTCGATTCCAAGCTTTCTTCTGGCCCATCATTCAACCCTAAGCCTCGCTGATGCCTTCATTCCATGTTATGAAATGCCCCGCATTGTTTATAACTGTTCTTTAAAAATCCCTAGACATACGTCAAAACAAAGAAAACTCTACAATAAGAAATTCCCAGAGCCTGCGAACAGTGTGAAAGCTTGGCTAAATTCAGACTTTCTTAATTATTGAGTCAAACCTATCATTTAACTGGCTAAAAATTAATACAACAAAATGAAAGAGGTCACTGATCACTTTGCTGAAGGCTCTCTGAGAGCAAAATATTCGCAGGTACAGAACACTTTGTTAATACGCACAAGGCTGAAGAACATGGACAAAGTCCAAACACAGAATGTATTGTTATTCTTTAAAGAACAGCATTAGAATATTAAAGCCTGTTTCATATTCATTCACCAGGAACCATTTCCAGAAGGAAGTACACTTCTGAGAATGAGAGTGTTCCAGCCAGAAGAGTTGGAACTATGGCACTTTGCTAATTTAAAGTATATATAAACCCATATGCACTTCAATGCTTTAATAACACTTGAAAACTCCACAAGTGTTTACTCAATAATAACACAACTGTGCATGAAGCACTTAGGTTGTGGCATGCTTACGTATGGAGGACTCCTCTCGACCTCCTGAGCAGCACAGATGTTGTAAGAATTTATTGTTAGTCTGCTTTATTCATGAAGCCAAAGACAACTTGGTCATTATTTATTATGGGATCTGAAATTGCTAACACTATTAACACTGTGTGCTATGATGTCTTTGAAAATCATCCAATAGGAAAGAGGTAAATAGTGTTAAAATACAAGTTCAGTGATGTACTTGTTATTTCTTGTCATGTGGTTTGGCTATTTTAGCAGTAGCAAAGCTCTTCCACTTCATTGAGTTTGCCTTAGCATTTAAGTGAGGTCCAGATGTGTCATAGGTCTTGCCCAGTGTCCTCAGAAGCAGAGACAGATTGTGAGAGCTAGATCCTGGGATGCTGAATGCCGACCCCAGCTGTGTTCGGATCATCAACGCGCTGGACACTGCCACAGCAATCACCAGCACAGGAAGTGTGTCCGCATAACAGCAAATGCCCAGACCACGCACAGAATTTTTGCTAAATCATTAGCAGAATCAAAATTCAGACATTTCTCTGAATCATTACAAGAATTGCAACTAAGTCCTGTGGAAAGCTGCAGCATGAATCAAATCCTCCTGACTTCCTAAGCAGACTGATAAGTGGATCTCTGACAATTAATTAAAATGTCCCCCGATCCCATGTAACCAGGATCTAAAAAATGGCTTGCTATTAATTAGTCTGTCACCCAAGAAATAGAAGTTTTCATTACCTTATTTATTTTTGCATTTCCAATTTTCTGGTTTGCTTGTTTGCCCAGAAATAGGTTGATGTAAAGGACTCCTATTTGCTTTGTTATGACAACATGCTTCTCCTTAATCACTGCTCTCTACATGTGGCACTCTAGCTTGGGATAAAATCCTTTAAAGGATTCCAGAGCTACCAATGATCTCTGGACACAATACTATCCTTTCAAAATAGTTCATAAACAACATTCGCACCAAAGAGAAATGGACATTGCCTCTTCAAATGTTGATTTCTGTGATTATCTGGAAGCAAAATGAGAGTCAAAAGATAGCGCTTCAGTAACAGCTCTGCTGCCTGCCCATGAGTGCACAGCCCATTTCTCTGCTTCTCTGAGCTGTTTCCATTTTCTTGCCAATGCAATGGGAACACAGCCCTTGTCCTCCAGATCTCAGTGGGACAGGAGAACAAAATGGTTTAATGACTTGAAAGTGCTTTAATTCCAAAGAACTTCACAATTAACTGCTCTTGGAAATTCCATTAAGGGCTTAGAAAGTTGATGAGAAAGGTGCATGCTGTCCACTCATTGTCTTCATCTCTTAAATCTGGTTAAATGGAAAGGGCAGATATTGGGAAGGCAATTTTGTGTCTACACTTAGGGAGATGCCAACCTCCCGCCCTGCCCTAGTTTAGAGTAGAGCCCCTCAGTCATCCTGTCCTCCCTGTCCAAGACTGTAAATGCTTGCTTCTGAGCCTAATTTTTTTTTTCCTATATTTTAGGGAAGGGTCTACAGGGTGTTCAGGGTCTCACTACTAGATCAGACTCGGGTAGTGATTCTCCTGTTTATAGCCTCCCAAGTGCTGGGATTACAGGTGTGGGCTGTCATGCCCAGTCTCAATCTCAGCATGACCCGGGGGCAGGACCAGAACAGCAGGCCCAGGCTGAGCGTAATTGTTCCCAAGAAAACAAAGATGCTGTGGTCTCTGCCATCTTGAGAAAAATAAATAAATTGGAGCTGCTTTATCTCTTTCTGACAAGTTCTCTAGTTCTCTATTTCCCTTTCAGCAAATTCCTAAATGATGTGTTCGTAGTGACTGCCTCCACTTCCTGCTTTCTCTCTTGGAGTCACTCCAACAGGCATGCTGGATCAATGAAAGTTCTTATTACTATAAATAAATAAATAATAATTCCATCAAAAATCCCATTTCTTCTTGCTCATGATTTTCTGTCATCTAGTTATTTTCCAGTTTTAACAGAAGTCAAAACTACATGTTGGCTATTTTAATTTTGTCGTTATATCTTTCCTGGATACTCATATCTCTGTAAAATCAATTAAAATTTTTATTAAATATTGTAGTAAATCTTGTATGTCAAAATATTTAAAAAATATTTTAAAGATCAACAAAGTATTTTAACATTATTGAATATAATTTAAAAGACAATACCCAGGCCCACAACTCTACTCCTACAAAATCAAATGATGAGAAATAAAAGACAAGAAATATAAAAACATCCACATAAAACTTGTGCACAAGGGCCAAGGAGTTAGATCAGCGGCTTAAGTGCCTGCCTGGCAAGTGCAAGGTCCTGAGTTCAATCCCCAGTACAAAAAAAAACCTTGCTCACAAATATTCAGAGCAGTATATTCACAATGAGCAAAACAATGTATAAATAATTTGTGATAATATACATATAAATATTATAATAATATACATACTATAAAATAATATTCATATTCTATAAGTAAATGAACTACCAATGTTTACTATGATGTGCTAACTTTATGTATATTATGCTAGGTAATAGAAATCTCATAGACTAAAAAAAGGACATCTGAATCTGTTTATATGAAACATCCAGAAGAAGCACATCTACACAGACACAAGAGAAATCAGTCGTTGCCAAGGTCTGGAGAAAGTGGGCAAAAGGTAGCAAATGACTGCAAATGGGCAGTGTGCTGCTTTTGAGAGAGCTGAAAATTTTCACAATTGGATTGTGGTGCTGGCTGGGCAACTCTATAAATAGATAAAGACACCTGGAACTGTGCAGTGTAAATAGGTTGATTTGTATAAAGTATATCTCAATAAAACCGTACAGTAATGTAGCAAGCCGTAAGTCAAGCTGACAGCATGAATACCCAGAATGCTGTGCTCAGAACAGCACTTCAGCAGCCAGGGAGATGGCTCAGTAAAATAAGTGCTTCCCTGGTAAGCACAAGGGCCTGAGTTCAATCCCTGCTTTACACACACACACACACACACACACACACACAAATGAGCGGCACTTCACGGCTGTGGACCTTCTCCCAGGAGCCCATAACCCCAGGCCAAGCGGGAGAAGAACATCAGCCAAATTGAAATTGAGCCCAATCTGTAAAGTGCCTAACTCACTCCTTAGACGTCTCAAGGGCACTAAAAACAAAGGAAGATAGATAAACTGCCCCAGACTAAAGGAAACATAAGTACAGGTGATAATTAAATATATTTTGGTGTCCTAGATGGGATTTTCCTTAGGACAAGAAAAGAAAGGACTTAAGGAAAAAGACTTAGTGGAAACCCAGTGACAGAATTAATTAGTTCTGTATGAAATTAGCAACATTGAGTCATGCAAAGGCAAGGAGTTAGTAATAAAAGAATGTATTGGCACGGGTCATATGGAAACTCTGAATTAGCACTGCAGCTTTAAAATAAACCTGTAAAACAACAACAGCAAAATGTTGGTTAATATTTCAGAACTTGGATTAAACATCTGCAAGCAGGTGCAGGGGCCAGGGGTTTGATCCCCCGGCCTGCCTTGCTGGCCCCATCCCCGGGGCACGCTGAGACAGTAATTGAGACTGGGCATGGTGGCACCTGCCTGTAATCCCAGCTCTTGGGAGGCTGTAAAC